TTTTTTTTTAAACAATGATTTTGAGTTTTGTTCCACATTGTTCTCCCACTCTATCCAGGATTTCCTACATAGATCCCCCTCTGAGTGGTTGACAGTGGTAGCCAGGCTCCATCTAGTTCTTCTGGTCTCATAGTCATATAGGCTGAGGATCTCATGGTGTACCAGTCCTTTGGACTATTTGTTTCCATGTGTCTTTGGTTTTCTTCATTCTTCTTTGCTCTGGATGAGGAGAGACCCATTGTTGCATCCAGATGGCTGCTTGCAAGTTTTAAGTTCCCAGTTGCTACTTGCCCAAGTATGATGTAGAACAATGTTTTGTGTAGTAAGTTATGCCAATTGAGCTTGATGTTCCCTGTGACCATCATCCCAAGCCCACAGGTCCAACTACTTGCTCCCTCCAGGTAGCTGGCTGTGGCCAAGAAGTGACTACAGCCTTGGCCCTTGTCAGCTCTATTATATACCTGCAAATTCTTACAAAACATACAAATATGCTTGTAGAAACATTGTCTGCCAACCCTATACAGGGTCATGAGCACACTCTCCCTTGCATAGACATACCTAGTCATTCAGCCTGTCCATCTATCTATCCACCCACATGTCAATGTTTGCCATCACTGACAACACAGTACTGTATGTGCTCACAAGGTTTTAAGACCTCTGTCACTAATCACCAAAGTAGGATATAAAACATTGTTTTTGTGGACTATGTTATGCCAATTGACCTTAGTGTCCACTGAGACTATGGTCCTGAGCTCCCATGCCCAGTGACTCATTCCCTCAAGGTGTTTGGTTATGACTAAGAAGTTACAATATACTTTATTATTGTACAGCTAAACATATTTGATGTTCTTTAGAGTCATACTTTTTCTATGCTGTAAAGATACAAATCAAAAGCAATATAAAACTGTGTAAATAAAAGCTACAGTCTTGAAGCCTAGGGAGTATTATTGTGACCAAAAAAGGGACAAACTTCAAAAGAGAATGATAAATAGCCTTTTTTTCCCCTCTAAAGTTATTACTATAGCAATTGCATTAGAAAATTAGAGAGCTATTACTCACCAATCATGAAAATAATTTTACACTTCCTCAAATCTTCCATAAAACCTTTAAAATAAGAATAATTTTGGTTATTGGCAAGAAATAACTACATCAAAACCCTGGTTTTATTCATGCTATGCAGAAACCCAAATCTTGTACTTTTATTTGGTAAGAAGCTTGAAGCTGAGTAAACAGGCCATGATGAATAGAGACTGATGACCATCTTGACCTTATTTCTAGATCCAGATAACATATTTTCATGCTAACACAGACTATCAATTTTAGGTGGTAAAATTGATAAATCATTAAACAGCATGAGTCCCAAAGTAAGAAAGTTAATTTGTAAAATAATTTTTTACATTTTCCAAGTGTTCAGTTTGGTGTTACTTGTTACTGCATATTTCTTTTTAAAGTTTACAAATTTTATTGAGAATATGCATAGCAAAACATCAACAGTTTGTACATATGTACTATTTAGTGACATAAATGATTTTCTCCTGTTGTGCAACCATTCTCACCCTTCTTTTCTTAGTTGTTCCTCCTCCATTAACACAAATTCACTGCTCCCTGAGGTTTTTATCTAATCTTTCAAGTCACTGTTGTCAGTTTGATTCCATATAGATAGGTCCCCGCCCTCCCTGTGGATACCCTTTCCTTGTGTCTTTTTTCCCTTTTATTGTGATTTGGGTGAAAATTATTTTCTATTCAAGAGTTTATACACATTTTGTTTCATGACACTGGTTGCATGTAATAGCTCTCTTCCCAAAGTATTAACAGTTACTTTTTCCCTGTGTCCTTCCCAATGCATTCCTGCCTCCCTAGCTTTCTTCCTGTGCAAATGCTGCCCTTTTGATCTCCCAAGGTTGATTGCTCTAAGGAGTGCATTTTTCTGGTGTAATTGTTCAATCATAGGCCTGTTTATTGTTTGGCTGAGAGTTAAGCCATGGGAGTGATTCCAATTCCAGGCCCGAAGGGTAACTCGGGCCATAATCTTAGAGGTTTCACCAGTCTCTGTCCAACCAGCAATCCTGGTCTTTTTATGTTCTTTAATTTTGTTCCACATTTTTCTCCCACTGTATCCAGCATCTCTAATTTTGATCCCTTTCCCAGTGATTGGCACTGGTAGCTAGGTACCATTTAGTTCTTCTGGTCTCAGGGTTGTGTAGGTTAAGGTTCCCGTGGTCCATTTGTC